CATTTCTCTTTTCATTTGGGGGGAGGGGGTAATCAGGGTTATTTATTTATCTAATGGAGGGGCTGGGGACTGAACCCAGGACCTCGTGCGTGCTAAGCACGTGATCTACCGCTGAGCTGTTCCCTCCCCCGCCTGTCATTTCTGACTAACTCCCGGGTGCACTGAGCCAGGCTCCTGCCTCTGAGGTACTCTTTCCCGTAACCCTTGCCTGCCCTTCTGAGTCCACTAGGTCCAGGTTACAGAGGACAGAAGGGAGAGTCTCTGTCCCCCAGGGGCTTCCTACATGGGCAGGTTTGCTTAAAACATGGACTGTCAATATTCAGGAAGTGTGTGTCAGGCCTCTGGGAGCCCTCGATTCCACTGAAACACAGCTCTTACTCTTAGTAAGAGCCGCCCCGGTAGCGCCAGGGAGCAAGCGCGCGCGGGCGAAACGCACGCCTGGTCGCACCCCCCCGAGGCCAGTGTGTGGTTCAGACCAGAGTGACGCCATGGGCTCCCGGGTGTGTTTACAGGAAGCAGAGGGAGACAGAAGATGGAAACTACAGGACAAAGAAGGCAAGGGAGCCATTACAGGGAAAAGAGCTCATGAAAGAGCATCATTTGAATTGGAGGCCACCGGATGAGCAGGACCCAGCGGGCCGAGATGCCGCCCGGCGCACACACCTGGCGGGCCCCCTGTGAGCACCCGGTGCACGCGCCCGACGGGCCCCCTGTGAGCGGGCGGGTCTGGAGCAGCCTCCCTGGTGTGGCAAGGCTGCTTTACACAGGTCTGCCCCAGCAAACTCGAGAGATCCTCCTGCCAGCTCAGGAGAGGACAGTGAGGACGCCTGGGGCATGGCCAGGACTGGAGGGGGCCTCCGGGGCCGAGGGAGGGCTTGGCCGGCAGTAAGAAAACGGCAAGCTCACTCCCATAGCAAACAGATTCTCCCAGTGGCCTGAAGGAGGGAAGACAGGACCCTGAGCTCCAGAGAGAATGCAGCCCAGGGACACCTGGATTTCAATCTGCTGAGACCCTGGGTAGCAGGGGACCCAGCCCATCTGTGCCAGAGATGCGGGGAGATTGTGACATAATAAATGCGTGTGGTTTTTAAGCCACTAAGTATGAGGTTTGTCTGCTACCCAGCAAAGGAAACTAATCCTGATCCAAATGTGGAGAGAAGTGAGAGGGAGTTCTAGACTGAAGTCTTGGAGGCAAGTGGGTGGAGGTGGGTTTGGGAGTGGATTCTGGAAACACGGATGGGGCAGGCTGGGGGCAGGCGAGACACACAGCGGAGTGGCGCTGTCTCTGGCCAGGGGCTGCCACCACCATCATTTATAAATGAAACCCCGAGGACAAATGTATAACAACGGAAGCCACAAAGAAGCAGGACCCTCATCGAATGATCTGGTGAAAAGATGAATGGATAAAAAGCATTCAAAATGAGATCACAAACAGGAAAAGGCAGAGAGAGGGGGGATGGCACAATGGTGGGAGGGAAGGCCCACGGGAGGAAAGTGTGGCGCTGGGCTCGTGCGGAGGGCACTGGGGTCCTGAGTGAGAGGAACTCATGAGGAGGAGGGAGGGGGCACTGAGCCACGGACCACGGGCCCCGAGGGGCTGTGCGCAGCGCTGACCACGTGACCAGCGGCCCGGCGGAGCACGGAAGGGTGAGGCTCGTTATTTAGAGGAATTCATCCCGATGCTTGAAAACCATAGAAGAAAGGGCTGATGACTAATTAAGAATATGAAAACTAATGTAAGTGTGATAGACTGGTTTTTGTGGACTAAAAGAATAATTTTTCTTTAAACGACACTGCCCAGTCCTGGCGATGTGGTTCCCGCACCGCCGGTGTCATGGGGGCCCAGGACCCTCAGTGATCCCTGGTCACACTGTATGTTCTTGTAACAA